GCCCCCTCCACCCCACCCCGTGCTAGACTAGACAAGCTGTGGGCGCCTGGGTCTGCTCCCCTGGGCCCTGCCCATGCCATTTCCAGAGCCCACTCTCCCCCACCCCAACCTGCCCCTTTCCTACTCTGGCGAACTGGCCCCCATCCGTGACGGAGGCTCGGCTCCCACAGGACGCCCAGGGGGTGGCCACGCCCCACCTACAGCCAGGCCCTGGTCCTGGTTTCAGCACCTGTGACCAGCCTCAGAAATTCACACCAGAAACCCAGCCTCACACCCCAGCCCAAATCCCACCTGTTGACAGAAGCTGACAAGTATCACCGCTGGGTAGAAAGGGCCACACAGAGATGGGAGACCAGATACCTGAGAACACACGACCCATGCGTGCATATGTGAGTGCTGGTGAGGGCGGACACATTTCACTCCCAGCAGATCAGACTGGCTTGTGATAGCCAGCCTGTGCCCAAGCCAGCCTGAACATGCTAAGAGCTGAAACACACGTGGGAGTGGCCAGGAAGAAAGGGCTTCAGCCCAGATGTGCGCTTACATTTCCAGTGTAAAGTTTCGTCTTCTTTGACTGGCAGATTTGCAAAGCTGACTCCAGTGTGAGACTCAGGCTGGCCGCGGGCTGGGTTGCTGAGTTCCCAGTGCTATGACTGCTGGCCCCTCTCTTGCTCTCTCCCCCCATCGCCCACTCCCACCAGCCAGCTGCATCTGGGCCCACATGGAACATCGGGAAGAGGAGGGTGGTCTTCTGAGACCACCTGGTCCAGTCCCCTGATTTTACAGACAAGGAAACTGAGGGTCAAAGAGATCAAAAAGGTCCTGGTCACTTAGCAGCAGAGCCCGAGGCAGGAATAAAATGGCAAAGCTACTTACACGGGCACCTCCCGTGAGGCAGGCACTGTCGGCACTGCTGTCTAAGATGAGGCTGGCCCTGTCTACACTGGTCCCCAAGGCTCACAGTCCTCCTTTGATATACTCAGTGCTGGTTCCTCTCCCGGATCAGAGACCGGAGGCTGGTGGAGGTGAAGGAGCTTGTTCTAGGTCACACATCTGGGGAGGAGCAGAACTGGGGGACAAACTCCACCTGGCTCTCCACCTGAGGTCCTTCCACCACCCTGTGAAGCCTCTCCTGGGACAAGAGTGAAAACTGTGAATCAGAGAGGAAGCGAGAGTGTGTTAAGGAAAGGAAGGAGTGGTTATTATTAAACAATGAAAATGCAAATGACATGCCCAAGCAGAAGGCAGCAGGTGCTCTGCAAAGCCTGGGCCTCTCTTCTTCAGTGAGGAAGTACCTGGAAACCAAAAGGATGGGGCACCTCAGAGGGACAAAGCTGCCGCCTGGGAAGAGCTCTCGGCGCCCAACTCTGGATCACTGTGAGCAACAAATTAAGTAACGGAGTATTGGGTTATAACGCAAAGTTTAACTATCTGTGAGTCCACACCAATATAAATAAATAAGTGGAAAAAAAATCATAGGGGAAAAAGATAATTCACCCTGACAAAGGAATTCTACAGACTTGGCATAGATACCGCCCCCTCCAAGAGATGGAGCGGACACCGCCCTCCGCAATGGTGTGGGCGTGCCCGGTGACTTGCCTCCGAAGAGGACCATGTGGGAAGGGGGCTGACCTGACCGTGGAGAACCTGGAGGATGGACACTGCCTCCATCAGCCAGGTGACCGAGTCCCACATCTGCAGTGATGAGTCCTGTGCTGAGACCTGCCTTCCTGTGACAGGATGGAAATGTCACTTGGCCTCTGGGTATTCCTTCCAAAACCCATCACCCAGTCTCCGCACGAGAAAAACATCAGCCAAGCCCAAACCTCAGGGACTCTACAAAATATGTGCCCCCAAAACCATCAGGGTCACAGACAACAAGGCCAGTCTGAGAAACTGTCACAGGCCAGGGGAGGCCACGGAGACGTGACAGTTCAATGTGAGGAGGGGTCCCCAAGGGCAGAAGAAGGACTCGGGAAAAGCTGGCAGCACCCCAATAACCCACGGAGTCTAGTTAGCAGTGGTGGATGCACGCCGGAGCCTGAGTTGAGATCAGTGACTTCAGCTATGTCCCCGTTAACGAGACGGGGACAGGCTAGAGGCGGGGGAATTCTCGGTGCCATCTTTGCAAGTTTTCTGTAAAAGCACAGCTATTCTAAGTCAAAGGGTTATTGTAAACGAATATGTCCGGCCATCCTACCGGGGAAGCCGTGCTTAACTCACCATACCTTAGACTAATCGGGGACTCTAATGGGTTGGAGCCCGCGCCCCACTTTGGGTTGAGTGAACGAGCATCTTTGGGCCTGGGGCCTGAACGTCGGACGTTCAGAAGGTCCCGGTGAGTCTCCCGTGCAGGTGGGGGTGAAACCACTCACCAAGGTGAGACATGAAGGAAGTCGGAAGTCAGGTGGAATTCTGAACAAATTCTAGAGTCCTTATGGAATGAAAAAGGGCTGCACTGAACACATTTCCTCCTCTGTCCACAGGACCTCTAAAGGTCTCATTGTTGGCTCTCTGGTGGCTCCCCCCTCCCCAGGCAGTCCTGCATGGCTGTTGTAATCAGGTGGTTGAGGGGCTCAAATTTCCTGTGGGTGTGAAAATGCAAAGTGACCTGGGCCAGCTAAGAAAAGGGCAGGTGTCCTCTTCCATCCAGCTGGGGTCACTGTCCCCCAAGAGGCCCCTAAGAGGCCCTCCTTGCCACACTGAGGTCTCAGACCTGACTGGGCTGAGCTCCCAGAGGTCACCCTGGGAGCACGAAGGCCACAGGAGGTCCCAGGAAGACCTGGGCTCCGAGCCGAGTGGCGGGGGGAAGGGGGAGCCGTTTCCGACGGGCAGGCTGGCCCCGGGCCAGCGGGTCCGCAGATGCCAGGCAACGCACCGGAGCGGGGTGAGAGGATAGGTGTGTGTAAACAGTGTTTGAAAATAGCTGTACAAATACAGCACTTGTGAACACAGGTGTTTATAGGTGGAACTGTTTTTCCAGGCTGCTCTCTCCCAACCTTCTTTGTAAGTCTCAGCTCACACCTGCAGGGACTTTCCTATTAAGCGAAGCCACAAAGGGGAAATGGATAGTCTAGGTCGACTTTAGCAAGCAGGAGGTCAGCGGTCGGCTTCAGGCCTGGGTAGTTTTCACCCAGTTTCCCTCGCTGGGGTTACTTCCATTTGTTTTTAACCTGCTCCGACAGGCTTCGGCCCATCAGCACGTCCTGCTTGGCCAAGAGGCTGCCGGAGGCCACCCGAGGGCAGTCACAGCGAGATGCAGCCTTCCCGGGCCAGTGGGTGCCGGCTGCTCTCCAAGTACTATCATCTTATTCTACGCTCCCCAGGGAAAGCCTCACTATCTATATTTTACAGACAAGAAAACCAAGACCTTGGTCTGAAGTCACAGAGCTAAGAAGTGGAGGTTGCCGGGGTCTCCACCAAACCTGGGTCAGATTCAGAGCTGCAGCCGGAAAGGGCTGAGCGGTGACGTCTGGTGACAACAGCCCCCAGGGGATGGTGCTGTCTGTAGAAGCACAGATTCATTCATTCGACTTAAAAAGCAGAATTTATGTTTTTGTCCTACCTCATAGAAGAAGGTCGTATGGTCAGGTGCTAACATGCTACGAAATATTAAAAATTATGGAAGAGAAACTTGATACCATTGAATGGCAGGCTTAAAAATGGCTAAGATGGCCATTTTGATGTTGTGTGTATTTTGCCACAGCTTAAGCTTCGTGGAAGAGAAACTTAAGACTGAGAACCTCCTATTCAGTATGAAAACCTAACCCAGAGTAGGTGAGCTGGGCTTCCAGTTAGTCTGTTTTTGGAAACAGCTGGTGTCCGCATTCTGAGAGATCTCTGACCTCTGGAAAGACCTTCTCTGATATTAGCCTTTCATTCGTGCAGATGTGAGGGGAGAACTTCCCCATTATTGGGGGAAGCCCTCAAAGGTGAAACACCCCAAATGCAGATTCTCAGCCCGAGGCGTTAAAGGCTGCATTTCCCAGTCTCAACGGCAGGGACGGGGTGAGGCGGGAGGCGAGGGACACCTGGTTTGGAGGAAGGAGCACCTTCCTGGCCACGCGAGGATGCAGTCGGCCTGCCCCTCGCCCTGTCACCAGCCTCTATGAAGCCCGCAGAACGTGGGGGGACACAAGGAGGGCTCTGTCACTCTCGGAGAGGGACAGGACCCAAAGAGCGGCCCAGTAGACACTGTGACCAGCTGGCCAGGGGCCACTGGCGGGAAAGCCAACGTGGCAGCCTTGCCGGAGGTGACCAGGGTGAGAGGGATGGGATGGGGAGGCCCTCACTGCCCAGAGTCCCGACAGGCCTGGGAGACGCTGTGCCTCCAGCAAGCACACAGGTGCTCTGACGGTGTCCCTGGGACACCCAGGATGAGTGACCCCTGTGGTAAGCGGAAAACAGGGGTCCTTTGCCACCAGTAGCTTTTGATGTCACTGTATCTACAAACCAGGGAGAACCTTTATTACTTGATTTTAGTAGCAAAATCCTTTAGTCCAGCTTAAGGAACAAAGAGTTTTCTGGAGACTTTGTTTAAGAACCGTTGTTCTGTTCCAACCACCCTCTTCGACCTCCACTCACAGACCAGCTCTGTTTCGCAGATGAAGAAAGATAGGGTCAGAGAGACAGGGGAGTTCACGGGCGGACCGGGTCCTGCAAGGCTATTCTGGTTCCCAATGTTGTTCTTTCATGCCATGTAACACTTCCTCCTGGGAAAAGGAGGGCGCCTGAGAGCAAAGGAAGGAGCCCAGCCCTCCCTCCAAAGCCCTCCTGACCCCTACCTGGACCACCTCCACCCCTGCCTCTCCTCTGCTTGCAGGTGGCGCCAAGGAGGGCCAGCACACGGGCCCGAGCACTCGCTGGAGGCCAGCAGCTGTCGGCCCTGCCCCTCGCCAAGGGGGCAGAGAGAGAAAGAACACCAATGGAGAACTTCAAATTTCACCACCGAGATGCTGAAAGGTTTTGCCTTTGAATCTGACAAGTCTCTAAAAACGGGATAATGCCTAATTAGACATTACTTTATGTCATTCTAATTAAGATGACCTCACGTCATAATTACAGACCCGCTCCTCCATTACTGAGGGCTAATCAGGACGCTGGGACGCACTCTCCGCCTGCCACACTAGACGCCCTGGGCTTCACGCTGGCACTTTCACCTCAGTCACCTCTTGAAGGAAACCAGAGCCAAGGGCGTCCAGCGGGCATCTCAGTCGATGAGCTGATGCCGCGTGAACCCCGTGTGCCAAGAAGGGGAGTCGTTTAAAAACAGATCTTTCATCATTGCCGTGTGCTAGTTCCCTCACTCTCCGTCAGTGTAGGGACTGCCCCCGATGTGCAAAATGCACACGCGCACACACACTCACTCATAGGGGCAGTTTTCTGACATGAACTCCCGGGTCCAGTCTAGACCCGCACACACAGCAGGCTGTGTCTCTCACCCCTGCTCCACCTCCAGGGCCAGCAGGACGCCCGGCGCATCCTGGGTTCCCTGTGGATGTCTGTTCAGCCGTGACCACCTGAAGGACGCCGACCTCTGCTCAGGTGTGTCGTGTCTGAACCATCTGTGACTCAGCTTCAAAGGGAGCCTCTCTCCTGAGCTTCCTGGCCTGGCAGACTGCGTCCCTTCCCTTCCAGCCGGAAACTCCACGTGGGTCGGCAGCCCGCAGGCGCAGGTCAGAGGCACACCTGGTAACAAAGGGGCCCCTTCCCACAGCGATGACAATCCCTCCCACAGTTTGGGGTCAGCGGGCAGCGCACTACAGTTTACACACTGTTTCGTATCTCCTGGCACTGACCTCTCACTTTGGGATGTGGTGCCGTCAGCGACCCTGAATAATCACAGAGTAAAGGGAGCTCATTAGTATTTAGCCCTGCCAGAGGGAAGCACTTGGGAGGCCCCGATCTCCTCTGCAGAGGGGCTGCTACTTGTCAGCTGGAGAGCAGGACTTAATTAGACGCATCAGCTCGTCGGCTCCAAGGTGACGTCCACGGGACGGCCACACACGGAGTGGCTCAGGCAGGGGCAGCCGCCCCCAGGGCGGGGCAGGAGGGTGGGCTTCCATTTCCCCATACCCGTCCTGGGCCCTGCGGTACCACGATCAAGTTCAGTGCCAGGTAGTGCCCAGGCTGTCCCCGCTCGTTCCTTCCCCTCCCTCGGAGTCAGCCACAAGGTCACCCTGAGCAGATGGTAATGAGCCGGCGGGAAGGGACCGCGTGGGCCAGTCCTCCGCGGTGCTGAAGCCCTACCCATGAAGGGGGCAGCCACCACCAGCCCTGGGAGACGACACGTAGGTCAACGCTGGGACAAGCGGTGACTGTTCTTCGGATAATTTGGAGTAACTATTTACGGCAAGCACATCTGAAACAAAAACCGTAAAAAATTGATGGACAACATCCAAGTTGCCTCAAAATGAAAAGGAAAGAGAAAGTATTTTCCCCGCTCAAGATGCAGGCGGAGCATCGCAGGGCGTAAGGGAGGGTCCCCTGGGGGCTCCGGCCTCTCCTCGACGCCGGGCTGAATCCGGGCTGATGGGCCTCTGAGTGAAAGGACTTCTCCACCAGGCTCCTCACTGTCCCTCGTTTGCAGGAAAGAGAGGTCTGCTCCCACAGGGACCCCTCCCCCAGGGCAGACCGGCGGGCACACCCTCGGGGTCTCACACAGACCCCCGCACCTGGGGAGGGCAGGTGAGTGTGCGAGCAGGGAACACAGGAATCCCACTGAGAGAGGTGGAGAGACACAGAGAGACAGAGGGAGAGGAAAGGGCTGACAGACAGAAAGAATGGGCTGAAAAGAAGACAGAGGCACAGACAGACAGAGGGAGGAAAGGGAGGATGGAGAGAAGGAGGGAGGGGAGAGACGGAGGGAGGGAGGGGGTGGAGGGGGCCTATTTCCTCCTGTCCTGGCTGCGCTGACCCTGCTCCTTCAGGGAAACTGCCCTCCGTGGTGCCTTCTGCATCTCCAGGGGACACGGCCAGCAGGTCAGGCCCAGCAGCTGCGAGAAGAGAGCTCTATTTCTGGTGAAGAGGGACCGGAAAGGGCTGTAAGCTCTTAGCCGCTGAGCAGGGCAGGTGGAAGTCTGTCGCCGGGGAGAGGGTCACCATGACCATGGCCTCAGACCATCTCCTCCGGGAACTGGCTGCGTGGGTCATTGCATAATCACTTCACCCCTGAAAGAGGTCTCCAAGGAGTGCCCCGGATGTCTTGCAGGAGGGATCCCCCCGGACACCCACGCACTGTCCCTCCCAGCCGCTAATCACAGCTCAGGGCAGCTGTAGGAAGGGCAGCGGGAGGCAGACAATTTCCAAGAGGTGCTCGGGCTGGGGCCTCACATTCCCTTTTTTCAATTTGGAAGAGAAAGGGGAAAAGTTGGCTGTCCATCCCCACCCCGACCCACCCCCACACCAGCCATGCCATGCGGGGTCCCCCTGGCCGAGGGCACCCTGGCAGCCCCTGAGCTCCCCAGAGTTGTATCAGCCCACCCCACCCCAGCCCAGCTACCTCAGACCCCAGCCTTGTCCAAAGCCCAGCCCCACTCGGCAGGGGGTGGGGGGAGGATTAAACTATCAACAGGCTGAAAATAATAGCGATCAAATAAAAATAAAGTAAAATAAAACATTTCCATCACCCCCCCCAAAAAAATCAATCAATAGGCTGGAGTCACAGAGGCAGGGCCCAGCTGGGGTTGGGACAGGGAGGGAACCCCAGAGCTAGGCAGGAGCAGCGGGCCCCTTGCTAGATGCTGAGAGTCAGCATCTGGCTTTGGTGCCAGAGGCCAGTCCGCACCAGGGAAGGGCCGACAGCCAACACAGGGAGGCAGGTCCGGGCGCTGGGGCGTGAGCAGCCGCCGAGGCTCCATGTAAAGCCGATGGAACAGAGCCCAGCACAAGTGCTCAGCAAACTGCCAGAAGCTGGGGAGACAGCCCGGACCAGGTTCTCCCTCACGGGCCTCAGTGGGAACCAAGCCTGCAGACACCTTGATTGGGGACCGCAGCCTCCCGAGCGGGGAGACCGTGTGTCTGTGCGGTGTCACCCCAGTCGGGGACGTTCTGTTATGGCAGCCCGAGCGGACCAATGCAGCCGCCCCGGAGCTCTGACGATGCCTGTGTCTCAGGTGAGGAAATTGGGGTCTGGAGGTGAAGAACCTGGCCAAGATCCAGGCCCCGGGCAGAGCAGAGCCGGGCGCCGTCCTGCCCCTGGGGTGCGTCTCAGCGTGCCGCTGACCCTGTGAACTTTGGCATGTCACTTGTCTCTTGACCTCCCTGAGGAGGAGACATCCAGTCCAGACCAGCTTGGAAACGCAGTTGACCCCTGACCACGGTCACCCCTGTGGAAGGAGCTGAGTCAGGGGCACTGTGTGCTCCCGGGGGGAGGGGGAGGCAGAGGCCACGGCCTCCGGCTCCATCTCAGCAGGAGAATCAGGAACCAGAGCCCCAGCTGGCAGCGCCCTGTGAGATTTCTTAAACTTCTGCCACTTCCCCACTGTTTCCCTTTTGTAACCAACCTCCTCCCTGCACGGTGGTGAATTAACCCCCCAGAGCGGCAGAGGCTGGTCTCCAGGGTCAGCAGAGGCCGGAGCTGGAGGATCGCTCCATCCCCCACGAGGCCAGGCCAGCCCAGGTGGAGGCTGCAAGCAAGACGGCCTCTGCTGAGGGACTTGGGGCGCGAGGGAAGCCCAGGCTTGAAGCCACTGCCGCCAGAAATTCCCTGCACCACAGCACCCTCTGAGCAGGGGTCAGATCAACTGAGGGGGGGTCCATGAAACCTCTCCCCAGGGCCTGGGGCAGCTGGACATCCAGTCCCATGTGTTCAGCAAGGGTCCACCCCGTGTGAGCTGCTGCCAGAGAAGGAGATCTCAGACAGCGGGTGCTGCTTCACTGGTCACTCTCGCCCCAGGATCTCCCACTGTTTCCTTTTCTCATCCTGTTCCCTGAGAATCTTCTCATCCTGGTCACAGGGCGAGTGAGATCAGGAGACAGGGTAAGCCGTTCCCTGTGCCCTGGGCTCCAGTTCAACCCAGGCCAGGTGGGCTGGGAAGGTGCAGGAGGAGGTGGGAAATCATGGGGAGAGAGGAGCAGAGCAGCTCCCCGTGTCTGGGCAGAGCACCTGCTGTGCACACGCGTGTGTAATGGGGCGGGAACACTCGCACAGTATTTCTGAACTAAAAGCACATGTTTTTAGATACGTTAATCCCTGTAAGTCCACAAGGTAGACACTACTGTTTTAATATACAGATGGGAAGACTGGGATTTAGACTGGCCCGGTGGCTGGGCTGAAACTCAAACCTGTGGGACTCCGGGGTGATGCCCTCAGATGTCATGGAATCCATCCTTCAGGACAGATCATGGCTCCAAACATCCCCTGCCCGGCTCTCAGAGCTTGCACCCAACCCCTGCTGGCAAAATCCTCTCCGGTACCTCTAACCCAGCCCTTCAAGCTGCAGTCGGAGCCTGTTTCCTGAGTTCTGTCCAGACCAGGAGAGAGAAGCACTCATACTGTAAAAGCCTCAGATTCCTGCAGACGTAACACTCATCCCACCGGCTCACCATCCCCTAAACTTCCCCCTCCACCTGCTTTAATCTCTCAGTCTTTCCTACTTTCTGGGGGCAGGAGGCTGGGGGTGGGAGTCATGTGGGGGCACAGAGCTCTGTGCAGAAGTCAGCGGCATCTTTGGGGTGGGCAGACCCAGACCCAGCACCACCAGCCCTCACCTGCTCACCAAGCCTCCCTTTCTCACCACTTCTGCGGTTCCCCATGGCCAACGTGGACTTGGAGCCTTGGCCAGCAGCCCTCTTCACCCACCCTGGGGTCCTCCGCAAAACCCGATGAGGCTCCTTTCCTCTCAGTCCTGGGTGCTGTGAGTCTGTCGGGTGGGCCTGAGCCCTGAGAGGTCCCTCTGAACCCTCTGTGTGTGGCCGCCACTTGGAGGCCCTGATCCACCCAACTTGGGATTCAAGGATCCAGACAAACACCCTCTGTTTTCTGGGGCAGAGGGTGTGAGGGCACGCAGAGCCGAGCAGCGGTCTAAGGGAGCTGGAGGTGGGTGACATCCATCGCTTCCCCGCAACCTGCACGCTTGTCACTCCCCGGGAAGATTAGATTAGGAGAAACCCCACTCCAGACACCTGATGTCTCGCCCTCTTCTGTCTGTGCCTGCCGTGCGGCTGAGAGCAACTTGGCCGGCTTTTCTGCAAGTGTAGAAACAAGCAGGCCGGCCTCCTCTGTTGCCGGCGCCCTCCCGTCTCCACACCATGAACTCTCCCTCCGGCCCCTTCGGCTTTCCAACAAGGCGGCCCAGGCCCGACTCCAGCTCAGCCTCCTGGGCCCTGCCGTGGGCTCGTCATTGTCGCTGCCCCTGGGTTTTCTGGGCAGGCACACGCGTCTCTCCCACTTCTTTGCCTCCGGATGGAAAGGCTCCCCACGGCAACACGAGCCCCCAGCCCTGGTCCTGACCTCTGCTTCCCAGAACTGGTAACTTGACAGGATTGGAATGATGGATGCTTCATGTCCTGTTTGCATTTCACACAGTTGGAAGAAATTAATAAAGAAAGGGTCTTTTAACAGACGAGAGCAAAGCGGCGTCTTTGGCTGGGGTCTGAGGGCCAGGCCTGGGCCTCTGGGAAAAATGTGACGGCCGGGTTCCCCAGGGGCCTCCTGCCTGTCAGCACCTCGGAGCAGAGACTGGACTGAAGCCTGAGAGAAGCCTCAGCCTTTCTCCCCGACGGCTCCAAGGCCGAACGTCCCCAACGAAGTTTCCATTTCAATCCGAGTTCCAGGTGTGCCAGGTTGGGATTTGCTTCATGAGCTGAGGGTCCCCAGTGGGGGTTCAGGCTGCGGAGGATCAGGAACTCAAAGGTCCGGCTGTGCTGGCCCCTGCCCACACCCCCCACCTGTCCCTCTCTCTGACGTAAGGCCACCTGTCCTTCCACTCCAATCCCAGCCTGGGGTGACAAGACCCAACTCAGGCAGAGGCTGACCTCTTCCAAGGGGCTCTCATCTTTGGCCTGGTTCCCGGGGGTAAAAGAGTAAGAGATAAAGGAGGCGTTGAATTGTTGAGGGGTGGGTATTAACTGAGGGTTCCTCCAGCCAGGATTCTGTGACCCTTCAGGGAAACACAGGAAGAGAAACCGGCAGTCGCCACCGTGCCCTCTCCTGCTGGCCGGCCGCTTCCCACAGCCCGGCGCTCCCTGGCTGCCTCTAATGAGAAGAATCCAGAATCTTGAAGCCGAGAGAAGACTGCATCAGCGTGGGCTGGAAAAGCCCACCCTGACGAGTACCCCACTCTTCATCCTGTGCTTTGGTTTGTCGGGTCTTCTGCCCCAAAATCTATTGCAACGGAATACCTGGAAAAATGGAAAATTCTTGTAAGACATTACAGCCGTGTTCCCTCTAAAGACATGCTCTCTCCTCTCTCTCTCATTCTGTCCGTCTGTCTGTCTTGCTCTGCCATTCCTTCCCACCTCCCTACCCTGCTCTCCCCCGATTCTTCCTCCTAGTATACCCTTTCCTCTCTGTCTGTCTCTCCTCTTTTTTGTGTCTCTCCTTCTGCCTGGAGGGGCCTCGCTTTTGTGGCCTCTCTCCCCAGATGAATGTCTCAACATCTTCAAATATTAACCTCATTAATTTGGGAAGGATTTATCAGTGTAGAGGTTAATTGTCTTTCCCTGACATGTTTTTACCAAATACATCTGGGTGACAAAATTAATTTCCTCATTAGCTATTTTTAAAAGTGGAACAAGCTGGGGGGAAATCAGTGCACAGAGACTTTGCAGCGTGAGCTGTTCTGGCCTCTAGGCTCTGTCCCGGCCCCTCTCCCAGGGGTGCTCACCCACCACCAGGAGCCAGAGAGCACCGAGGTCAGGGAGTCAGAGATCCAAGGGCCCCTGGAGGAAGGGAGGGCCTGGGGGGAGACCTGAGGTCTGAGTTCTGGGGTGCAGTTCCAGGGAGCCCACACCAGGGAGAGGCCTGGGCCCAGCAGCCGGGACTCGGGACCCAGGCAGCCGCTCGGGGCCCTTCCCCTCCCCGTGGGGGAGAGCTGCCTCCAAGCCGGACGCTCAAGTCACTGCTCTTTAGAGCAGAATAAAAGCAGCAGATAGAGACAGAGATGTATCAAATGAGTCCCAGCTCCAAGACCAGCCCCCAAGCCCAGGAAGTCAGACCACGTTGCCCGGAGGCACCGCAGGGTCTGTGCCCTGCGTCAGGGCCCGAGCAGCCGGTCCCCGTGTGCTCGCAGCCCCGATGCCCCAGCGCAAAGCGGCTCCAGGCCCTGCACTGAGGGGCGGCCCAGGGGATGGGCGGGGCGTCAGCCCACTCAGGTGCCCGGCCTGGCATTCGGAGGGTCAGAGTCGGGATGTCTGGACCACTAATGGAAGGTCGCCACGCGGGGAGGCTGGTGACATCAAGCAGCTGAGTACCACAGGACGCTGGACCAGTCACTCAGCATCCAGGGCCTTAGTATCCGGGCTGTGAAGGAAACAGCTCCCCAACCCACCCCCCAGCTCTCACTGCCTTAACTCTGGAACCTGAGGCTCCAGCTCAGGGGGCCAGGACCCTCCACAGCTGCCCCGGCCCCTCTCACCCTCCGTAACCTCCCTCCGCTCCAGAGTTACCCTTCCTGTCACTCTCGCTGATTGCCCAGGACGGAGGCAACCAGGACTGGAGACCTGACAAGACTCAGAGTCCAGAACTTTCTCGAGCCAAGCCTGTTCCCCACCCGACTTCTTCCAGGCTTTTTCCAGCAGGGCCTTTTCTAGCAGAGAAGGAAGCAGGCACCCAGGAGCCAGCTGCTGCTGCAGGCCAAGGCCAGGCCAACCCCGAAGCCCCTTCCTTCGGCCCAGCCCCAGCCTCAGTGGGGGCCCAGGCTCCATGTTATCTACCCTTCCTTTCTAGGAAACAAGGAGCCTGGGATGTGGTGCTGATACAAATCCTGAATTTCCTGTTTCTTTAAACTGAGACATAACTCACGCGCACAGACACACACACACACACACACACCCCGGCGACGCTCACCAATGGCCACTCCTGCCCGAGCCGTGTGTCCTGCTGCAGCAACTTCAGGAACAGGGAAAACCAGACCTAGGGAGCTATCTGAATGTCACAAGCTGTCAGCCTGGGACAGGAATAGGATGGGCTGCCGGCCCCTCCCCTCCCTGGCTTTATCTCCTGTTCGGCTGGGCCTCCCCTTTCTCACGGCCTCCTTGCCTTCCAGAAGGCGCAGCTCAGCCCAGACAGAAGGATCCTTGGCATCAGATCACCTTCGGGCCCTTCCTTACGCTTGCTGCTGGAGCAGACTTGCACTGAAATGTCAGGGAGCGCCGGACCCTCCCCAGCACCCTCCCCACCTTCCCGAGAACAACCCTGGGCATCAGCACCAGGTGATCACACACAGCCCGGGGCCCCTGGACCACATTCAGACTGGTTTTTGCTGACCCCTTCCCAGCGGTCCTTCTCACCCAGCTCCAATCTGACTGAAACCAGAATAGGCATCTCCACCTGTCTTCTACCTCCTGACAGCTGTCCCTCCTTGCTTCCCACCTTCCTGACCCAGGGATTTCCTGGAACAGGAATTCCAGACTTTCTTTTGAGGGGTAGGAGTCTGCCAGCAAAGCGGGACAAGGCAGGTTCAATTCGCTCCCGCTCTCCTGAAGCCGGAAGCACTCCAGCCAGCCTGTCTGGGAGGGTGGACAGGAGTGCCTCGGAGCACCCCACCCCCTGATTCTGAGCCTCAGGATGACAGAATACAGGGTCAGGGAAGGCTTCCCGGTGGGGACGATCACGAAGCTGGGTTCTGAAGGATGAAGAGGAGTTTGCTGAGCTGATCCCAGGGGAAGGGCGCGCAGAGAGGAAACAGCATTGGCAGAGGCACTGGGACTTGAAAAGGACCTGGCTTGACTGAGGAACTGGGAGCTGCCGTGTGCAGCTGGCAGGTCTACATCAGAAAATCAGGGAGGGCGGGCAGGAGGGTAACAGGAGCCTTGAATGTTTCTGCACCGCGGTTAAACAGGAGTTAAACAGGACAGTGGCAGAAACCACTGTGAGTCAGAAAGGGCACTTGGGAGGTGGTGCAGAGGCCGGCTGGAGCTGAGAGAGTCACAGGGATGCTTTACCTGGAAGCCAGGAGCGCTCCTTCTAATGCAATCACCTCCTCTTAGAATCTGAGTGGAGGCAGCGCCAGATAGATTCTCAGGGAGGAATCTGGAAGGTCTGGTTCCCAGGGCCCAGCAGGGAGGCCAGGTTCCTGACCAGCCAAGTGGTTTGCCTGTGAGCTTTTGTGGAGGCAGAAAAGTTAGATCTTGTCCCACTTTAGAGATGGGGAAACCGAGATAGAGGGAGGCTTCATATCACAGTAAGGCGGCGCCCGCGCCGGGAATAGCACCCTACGCCCCCCGGACTCCCACACGGGGCCGCACGCCTCTGATGTGGGTGCGGCTGCCGCACGCGCTTTCCTGCGATGCACCTGGCCTGCCCGCGTCGCCTCCAAATGTGGGCGTCGGGGTGCTTCGAGGTGCCCCACCCGAAACGCCGTCCCCCTCCTTCCGAGGCCAGCAGGTAGAGATTGCTCAGGAAGAAGAGCCTAAGGCCAGAGAGGAAGCTTCCTGGGGAGCTGAGGCTGGCTCTGCCTGGCTCAGCAGAGCCACGGTGAGGACCTCGGTTTACTCCAGCCCGCCCTCATCTCCCGTCTCATCATGCGACATCTGTCAAACGCCTGCTCTCCCGCCAGAGAAGCACTCTGAAGACAGTGTGTGGAGTGCCCGGCGGTCATGGGTAGGACGGATGAATCACATCTGTGCAGCGGCTGCCTTGAGATGGGAGGGACATGTTCTGGAGAGCTCCTCCAGAACACCCCGGGGGCAGTGGTGGCTCCAGGGCTCACCTCCCCGTGACCCACTCCTCCCCTCTCTCCCCAAGTTTTCCGTCTTTGAGAAGAACCAACCCTGGTCAGCTGTCTCCTGGGCATGGCCCGGAGCCACTCCTGCCAGGGTGTGGAAAAAGCAGGCCACTGGCTGGGAACCTCCAGAACTCATCCTGTCCGAGGGCAGCGGGTCGGTCAGCCGCCGCGAGAAGCACGAAGTTCGGAAGTCAAGGTCTCCTTGTATTCTGGGCCTTGGGACTGTTTGAGAGGGAAAAAAGTCAACTGTTGTTCTGCAATTTTGTTCTCAGTCCAAAGGCACGTTGCTTTGGAAAGTGGACAGATTCTGCATTTGGCTGATTTTAGGATCCAAAAATATGATGATGGAGGAAGGGGAGAGCTTTTGAGGATTTAACATATTTTCTCAGACACATTTTAAACTTGATTACAGCCTGAAATATTATCGGTCCGTGTGTCTTATGCTCAACAAAGAGCCTCTACTGGCCTAAATGGACAAGGCATTTCTAGGAGTGATTACAGCGTTCTGTTCGTGTCACCTATGGCCAAAAACCCTCAGTGGCTCCCCACTGCCCTCAGATGCCATCGTCTTCATGGAGATGAGTGAGGCCTGTGCTAAGCACTTGGCAAGTATTACCTCACTTGAGTTTCAACACAATCAGAAAGGAAATATCATTCAGCCCATTACACAGATGAGAAAGCTGAGGTTGAGAGGACTTGTCTGAGCCTGCTACACTACACAGCCTCAGAGCTGGGATAAACCCCAAACCATCTGAGGCTATCACCCAACTTTCTCTCTCCCCTCCTTCTAATTCCCACCCTGATGAAATAGTACAGGTGTCCCTGACCGTTCCCGCCAGCACCACCCCACCGCGGGCACCCCACCCATCTCTGATTAGGGAGCTCCTCCAGATTAGACGGCATCCTTGTTGCTGACTTCCTCTGCTTCCTCCAGACTGGGACCCCTGAAGACAAGGATTTGGGCTCTGGGTGCCAGGTGGTCCCTTGCTGTGTCCAGCACAGAGCCTGGTACCACGGGATGGGCAGTAAATACACGTGGAATAAATCATTCCATCCTGCGCTGGAGCACCGTGTGCCTTCGTCTCAACCCGTATGTATCAAGAACATCCATGAAATCTCCCAGCGAGGTCTGTGTCTTCTCACCCTTGGTGGTGAGACAAGACCTCCTGGAGAGCCAGCTAAAACCCAGACTGACAGCTGGGCCTCCCATCCAGAAAGTCGGCTCAGCAGGCCGGGAGGGGCCAGAAGTTCTGCACGTCTCGCAGGCTCCCGGGTGCTGCCCGTCCCGGCCTCACCCTGCAGAGAGGCTGCTCTCTAAACTCGAGTCTGTGCTTCAGAAGTGACACTCGAGCTGATGAAAGACACTTAGCCAAATGCTCACCAACATCACGGACAACTTCGAAACTCTGGTCCGCAGCATAAAGGAAAAAAAAATGAAGGGACACATTCTCAGTTTTCTATTTGAAAGAGTCCTTTGCTACAGTGGGGGATTTTCCTCTGCATCTTCCGAAACGCCAGGAAATAAAATTTTCAGTGTGACTACCGTGTCCTCATCCGGACCACGGCAAGCTCACTGTGGTTACACCTCAGAGAGAGCCCGGGGCTCCCCGTGAGAGGGGCAACGCTCAGCTTAGAGTTACATTCTGAATTCTCAAAACAGGGCACCATCTCCCTCGGCGCTGGTGCATTCAGAAAAAAGCCCCTGCCAGCACACACGCCCAGGCCGCGCACGCATCCACGCGCACAGACACCATCAGCCTTCGGGCGGCGATGAGCGTTCGGGCGCTTTCTGTGTCTCAGTCACCGGGGCTCGTGGGGGAGGCCCGGGGGACAGGGGAGGTGCCGTCCCTCCGCGCACCGGGGGAGAGCCGGTGAATCACGCAGCCCGGTCCTTTCCCAGTTACCAGAGCTATCGGCGCTGACTAAAAACCCAGTAGCAGCTGGCAGGAAACGGGTAGGAGCACTGACCACAGATCAACTGTAGGCCTCCAAGGAGCAGCAGCAGACAGGCGCTGGGGCAGGAAGTCGAGCTGTCAGGCCTCAGCCCCACGCCTGCTCGCGGGGCACTCCCGGGCCGCCCAGGGCTGCGCGCACCAGATAGGTCTGGGGGTACGGCTGTGGGGTCTCGGCCCACAGCCCCGGAGGGAGAGGAGTGGCCGGGAGGCAGCCAGCAGCCGCGCGGACGGCCCTGGCTGGGAGCTCCAGGTCCTTCCACGAGCAGCAGCAGAGGCAGCGTTTCTCACCATCCGGCCTGTGATGAAGTAACAGCCGGCCGGGGCCCCCCGTGGGGATCAAGTTAGCTGCTGCCCATGCATTTCTTAACCAGGGTCCCGGCAGCCAAAGGGCCAGCTCCCAGGAGGAGAGGGCGCCCAGGCCCACTGAGAACGTGCAGCAGGGAAGCACTGCTTTACAGACACACCCACCCAAAGCTCGCAAATAAATCCTCTCGCTGCTTCTCAGCCAGTTCGAAGGACATACCCTCTGAAGTGCATAAGGAGAGAGAAAGCAATAGTGCAGCAGTGTCTTTCCCCTACATCACCCCATTTCATGCTTTCAGACATCCCAGGAGGCAGGTCAGATTACCCCCATTTTACAGATGAGCAAATAGGGGGGATTTGTACACCTCACCCTGGGTCACAAGATTATAAGAGATAGAGCCAGATTCAAGGTCTGACTGCAGTCTCTGTGCTGTACACCGAGGTAAATGGCACAGGGAGCCCTTAGGTGCGGGAAGGGACAGAAAGGGAGGGGAGGTGTGCAGAGGTGAGAGCTGAGAGGCCGTGTTCAGTGTTTCGTAATATCCTCCCATGGCCCGGGGTGGACGCCGGCCCACGCAGCCCAGTGAGAGGAGACCCAGCCTCTCTGCACCCCAAAATAGATGCAGGGTTCTTCTGGGGACAGCCAGAGCAAGGCGACTGCTGGCCGCCCACTTCTCTGTGACACCTCTGTGACAAGCTTCAGTGTCGGCTCTTGAACCCATGAACTGCGTCTCAGCCTCTGAGGGAAAGGGGCTCCTCTGAGAAGCGCCAAGTCAGGCTTTCCCAGGCCTTCTTCTGGCTCTCTCTGCAGGCGCACCCCTGCGAGGGGTGGGGGTCCCCTTCCTGTCTCTGAGAAGCAGCGCAGTGCACCTGCCCCTGGGGCGTGAGCGGCCCCCTCTGCTGGCACCGCACCAGGGCCACCTCTTGGGGTAGCAAGACGGGAGTTCAGCTGGGCGACTGACTCACCCTTGTTCCTGGAACTGTCTGAAGGCGGGAGAGGATGCTGTGGGTAGGTTCTAACTGTATCATCTGGG